TATTTCTTCCCCCAGTTTGGGGAAGTTTTCAGCAATTATTTCTTCAAATACTCTTTCTATTCCTTTTTCTCTTCTTCTTCTTGTACCCCTATAATGTGGATATTATTCCTTTTGGATTGGTCACACAGTTCTCTTAATATTGTTTCATTCCTGGAGATCCTTTTATCTCTCTCTGTGTCAGCTTCTATGCGTTCCTGTTCTCTGGTTTCTATTCCATCAATGGCCTCTTGCATCTTATCCATTCTGTTTATAAGTCCTTCCAGAGATTGTTTCATTTCTGTAATCTCCCTCCTGATGTCTGTAATCTCCCTCCGGACTTTATCCCTTAGCTTTTGCATATTTCTCTGCAAGTCCATAAGCATGGTGATGAGCTTTATTTTTAATTCTTTTTCAGAAAGACTGGTTAGGTCTATCTCCTTCTCAGGGTTTGCCTCTGTGATCTTGGTCTGTATCAATTTTTTTCTGCCTTTTCATGGCGATAGATATATTTGTGGGGAGCTGGCTCGTGTGTTGGGTAAGAGAAAGTCCCTTCTTGCCAGTTTATGGCCTTCCTCTCCTGGGAGAACAGCAGCCTGTAGCGGCTTGTGCTGGGCAGCTGTGTGCAGATGGGGCTTCTGATTCTTGCCTGGCCGCTATGGAGTTTATCTCTGCTGTTGCTGTGGGCATGGCCTGCCTCAGGCTGCTGCTCCAATATGGCGGAGCCGCGTCGGAGGGGGAACAGGCAGGAGGCTGTTTATCTCCATGAGGGGCCTCCGAGCTGTGCTGCAGGGGTTCAGGCACCCAGAGTTCCCCAGAATTAGCAGCTGCTTGGCTAAGTGTCCCAGGGCGCTTCCATCCAGCTGTAGGGTCCCTGTCCCTTTAAGACTTTCAAAAAGCACTCGCTTTTCTTTGTCCCAGTGGCGCCAGCTGCAGGGACCCACTCACAGGTCTTACTGTCCTGTTTCCCTAGTTTCCAGCACCCCATGCATGCACTGTGTGTCTGTGCTCTGGTGTGGATGGCTATGGCTGGGTGTTTAGCAGTCCTAGGCTCCCTCTCCCTCCCCGCTCTGACTCTTCTCCTCCCACCAGGAGCTGGGGTGAGGGGCGCTCAGGTCCCGCCGGGCCATAGCTTGTATATTACCCCCTTCGCGAGGCGCTGGGTTCTCGCAGGTGTGGATGTGGTCTGGCTGTTGTCCTATGTCTTCTGGTCTCTCTTTTAGGAAGAGTTGTCTTTGTTGTATTTTCAAAAATATATGTGGTTTTGGGAGATATCCGCTGCTCTACTCATTCCGCCATCTTGGTTCTCTCTAGATTATCATTACATTTTAAAGACCTTGTCTAATTCTACAGCAAGAGAAAGATGTGTGGAGTTAAAGGGAGTATGAATGGAGATGTTGTTTGAAGACAAATTGTGATGATCCTTATGGGGTGCATGCATCTTATATTTTGATAGGTATTACCCAGTGGACTAACAGAAGTTTGTACTGGGTTATAATTTTTTCAACAGACCTGGTGAGTGCCCTTTTCTCCATTGTCTTAGCAGAATTGGGGTCATCAACCTTAAAATGGTTGCCTTTCTAAAAAGTGGAAAGTATCGCAGAGTTTCAAATTTTATTTCTATGATATTTGGTTATATTGAGTACCCTTAAAAAATACATTTGCTGTCAATTTCTGTAAATAATTGATTTACATGAACTCATTGTAAATTAAGAAGTGAAACCATTATCTGTGTATGTGTTAAAAATTTTACCCAGTACCATTTATCTTTAGACTTTGTTAATGGCATTTTTTTCCCATATGTAAGTTTTCAAATATTATGTAATAAAATTTCTCTTTTAGAACCTCTTGGTTTTGTGTCCCGCTTCAAAAAACCTCCCCTCCTATAAGATTATACATAAATTTATTATGTCATTTTCTAAAAAATTTATTGCTTATTATTTAATACCTAAATATTTGATTCATTATGACTTTTAGTATAAATAATAAGTTAGGCATTCCCCCCTCCCTCAATGCCTGAACCAACCACATATGTTATCCAATTTAAACAAAGCAAAATGTCTTATGTTATGTGGGACTAGCATGCAAAAGGTTGTGAATGCAACAGTAAGGAGTTTGAACTTTATCTTATAACCCATCAGAGTCTTTTGAAAGGTTTTTAAACAAGTGAGAAATATCATTAAAACTGTGTTTTATGAAAGTAATTTATGAAGGATCACATATAGGAAGGAAAGAAGGATGAGATAGGAAGGAAGGTAGTTAGGGGATCAATTAAAATAGCTCTCACTGCAAAAAGCAGTGAGGAAAG